CCCTGATCTTTAAATTTCTGTAGTAATGGATCAACGTAAAATAATCCCTTCATTATTCCATGATGCGACACTTCAAGATTTTTGCCAAATCCTGGTAAAAGCACGCAGTCCTAAAAGAATCCTGTTCTTCAGTCAAGTGGTTACAGTAGTTCTTTCTACGTGGAGCATTCTTTTGGTTTTTGATCATGCGGTCCCTTAACAAAGTAAAATCCTGAGCACATTTCTTTTTCTGCCCGTAGCTTTTTACATGATTTCTATTTTAAAAAAAGAAAATCAATGTCAAACTGAGGTGCCAAAGCATGATAGTACAAAGTTTTCAAACTTTGGGAATGGGAGGTTTTCCCCACTGTTGTTTTCTTCCATTATCTTAGCAAGCAAGAAGGTTCACTGGGTAAATATGTGATTGCTGTTGAAAACTGTGAAAAGTTTTTGGGGTTATTTTTACTGTTGTTTTGGTTTTTTCAGTTTAATGTCTTCTACAGCCTGTTGTTAGTGCTATGCTTTTTTAAGCTTCGTTTTGGTCTACAGCCTGCTCACTTTGAGATGTTATTTGACAGGGATTCCGAGAAGCATGTGAAAAAGGTCTGGTGTCAGGGCACAGGATATCTGGAGTCCGGTTTGTCCTGGACGATGGTGCACATCACATGGTGGACTCGAATGAAATCTCTTTCATCAGAGCAGGAGAAGGAGCCCTAAAGCAAGGTATAATTATTCTTTTTCCCCACAGATGTACGTAATACATAGCATTAACCATAAAACCCTCCTTTGCTGCGCACATCGTTACCTTTAATTATACTGGGTTTGTTCTTTGCTGTTTGATGATTTAGGTTTTTTTTTATCCCTAGCGATGGAAAATGCCACGGTGCGTATACTCGAACCCATTATGGCAGTGGAGGTGATGGCACCCACTGAATTCCAGGGAGCGGTGATAGCTGGGATTAATCGCCGTCACGGAGTGATCACGGGCCAGGATGGTGCAGAGGGTTACTTCACCCTCTATGCTGAGGTTTGTGGTGGTCGCTGGTTCCTGCTCTTTTCTTTTCCAGCCTTGTCTTCCAACTGCGTTACTGGTTTTCTTGCTGACTGCTGGGCGTAAACTTGTAGCCAGGTTTTTCGGTGGATAAACGTGGTAGGAATTTTTGACTCGTGGCAGTGTATTGGGCAGCATCAGTGAACCTGTTAGAAATCTGTGTGGCTCCAGAGAAGACCATGTACTAACCTAAAATCACACAGAGCAGAGAAGGGAACAGACCGCGGGTTTCTTGAGGTGGGCTGTGAAATAAATTTGTGATGCAACGCAAGTAGACAGCGATCAGAGGGGAAGATCTTCAACTGTCTGCCTTTAGCTGTTACCTCTAATAACAGCAGATAAATGACTTGGCAGACAAATGACTTGTCTTCAATGTCCCTTTTCTTATGTCCCCTCTAAAGACATATTTGTTCTTGTGTTAGGTCCCAGAGAAGCGTACGTCTAACGGTGGGGACGAGGGGTAAATCATCTTGGCAAAGCCTTAGCTAATGACGAGCCGCACGCTGCGTCGCTCCTGCTTCGTAAATTGTGTTCCGGGCTGCAGGCTTGAGGGGTTTCAGACATTACGATCTCTCGCGGGGTGACCCAGGTCACTGAATTCAGGCACTCCAGTATCTGGTGCATTCAGACTCGGAGATTTTTGTGGTTTGCTGCTGAAAACACATTATGCATATAAATTAGTTGGAATAAAGGGTACTTTACAAATACAGATAATTAAATCAGTGCTGTTCACAAAGACCACGATTTTACTGACTCTTTATATAGTAATTGAGATTAATTAGATGATAACCAAGAGCTGCTGGAAAAATACCTTGTTTTTACAAGAATGGTATGCTTGGGTTTTAGGTGCCGCTGAACGATATGTTTGGGTATGCCACTGAGCTGAGGTCTTGCACAGAGGTAAGTGCTCCCAGTACTTTTTCCTAGGACATTTATTTCTATAAATCAAGTGTGCTAATTTGCATCGCCATGCACACAGCATTTGCAGCAGGTTGGGATGTTGCCTGCAACTAAATAGGATTATGTGTTTAGCGCCCTCGCTTTGATTATTCTTTTTCCAACTCTACAGGGGAAGGGGGAATATACGATGGAATACTCTAAATACCAACCATGTTTGCCCAGCACTCAAGAAGAAATCATCAACAAATACCTCGAAGCAACAGGGCGACTTCCTGCAAAAAAGGGCAAAGCCAAGAGCTGACTTTTTTCCTCCTGAGTACATTGGACAGTTTTTCACCCTCTGCTCTGAAAGCTCCGTTGCCCAAGCCATAGAAGCACTCAAGGATAGCTGAGTAAGTGCGGGCAGCAGCTGGACTTGGACTTGTAACTTCATCCTAATATCCTTCCACTGTGGTATTCTCAGAAGCCACCAAGAGATTACAACGAAATCGTTCGCATGTAAATGCTCCTCATTAACAAAATATATAAATGTTAAAACACTGATGATAATTTGTCTTGAAATTTATCTTAATCCATTGGCATTAAAATAAGTTTATTTTTTCACTTGCTACACGGTTATTTGGTAATTAGGCTAGACCCTGTTCCTGCACTTTTGAAGGTTTTAAAAATTTTATTTTAGGAGATTTGCTGCTGGACAGGCAGGGGGGAAGAGTCGTCATCCGGTACGGAGCAGTTTTCACATCTGTGCTCCATGCACAGGTCTTTTACCTCCTGCCCTTAGAGCTTCCAGCCTAGGGGATGAGTGTCCCTGTTCCCTCTGTGTCGTCTAGAACCGGCACTGGGAGCCTCCGAAGCCCTGACGGACCAGGCAGAGTCATCCGGCAGTGCAACCCGCTCGTGGCACGAGGTGTTTGAAAAGGGTTGGTAATAATATACTTGGAAGTTCACTATTTACAAAGCTCTGAACAACATGGATTTGTTTTACGGGCTTGCTTTCTTGGCTCTTTGGTAGAAAACCAAAGAAAAGATTCCTTTTCCCAGAATCTCACGTTGAGGGGGCGTGCTGCCGATGATACTTAGCTTGGGAATTGGTAGAATGGATCTTTCTCTCTCAGAGAAGAGGGATAAAACAAGGGTGTTAGTTAGGTGGGAAAGAGAAGATAACATCATCAGTTTCTTTTTCTTTGATAATTACCAGGAGACTTGCGCTGAATTTTCTGTGCATGCTCTCTCTTCCTGACCTACTCAGCTTAACGGCATTTTTGCAGACTTCCAATAAACAGAATGAAGTTCCGGTTCAAAACTAGCGACGTTCCTGGCACAGGATCATGGCTGATGTTTACCAGATGCAGGCAGACGGGCTTCTTCTCCTCAACTTTCACAGCAAGACAGTGAAAACCTTGAAAAAAGAACAGAGTCAGAGATTTGTTGGAGGCATGTAAATGCTAGCTAAACGCGGGCGTAGCACCGTATACGGGCATGATATTGCTTCGGGCCAAATCCTTCTTGATCCTCTTACATTCAGAGCTTTGTTTTTGTGAAAATACCCAGCTGGAATTTGTTTCGAGAAAAGCTCTGCAGGTCCTCTGACACTTAGAGATTCTCTTAAACAAGCAAATAACAGCAGTTTTACTGAAATTCCAAGATGCCTTCTAAAAGCAGTATGAATGCCGGAAAGAAATGGGCTTGTTATTATTTTATTTATATTTACAGCTTTTACGTTGTGCTGAGCAGAAGCCAGTCCTGATTTGAATTCCTGGCTAATTGGTTCCACCAGGTATGTCCTGCTTCTCCACAGACCCAACGCAGCAGCTCTGGGCTGTACCTCTTTACAAATCAGCTGTGTGGGGTTTTATTAGCGTGAAGAATTCGCTGTGAACCTGTCTGAGCCCTGACTCAGATAACATCTACATGGATGTAACTAAGAGTTTTGCCTGAGTAAAAAAAAAAAAAAGTGTGATTTTACATTCTGGTCCACTGACGGAAATCTTGGCCCTGGCAGAAATGTTGCCTTTGAATTCCAACAGCTTTGCTGCTTGTCCAGAAGCCGTTTTGCAGTTTCTTAACTGATAAAAGTTGGTGTTGATTGTTAGCAGTGAGCTGCTAAGTTGGAAGTGCCTGATCCTCTGTTCTAGGTCTGGAGAGCCGTGGCAAAAACAAGGTAAGGAGACTAAACTCGTGGTTAAATGCATGGCTGAAGTAAAGGTCCAAAGTGCAAAAGACTCACTTTAAACACCTTAATGATCATTACGGATTACAGTGCAATGAGAGCGCGATATACCATGAGTTATAAAGAACAGAACCACCCCAGAAGACAGAGGCTGTTGACTGTTTTCCGAAGGAAGGCAGACTTACAGAGCTAATTTAACGTGGCAGAAATTTTGCTAATGCGGAAAAAAATACCAAACTCGAGGCAGATTGGCACAATCCCAGAAGAGCAAAGGCAGGACAGTGGCTCAGCTGGAAACCCAAATGGGGAATTTGGTGCAAAGAACAGGGACTCAGTTGTGTTTAGGATGGGTATGGGACATGGGAGTAGTTTTGCCTCCTCCCCTTGTCTGTGTTTTTTTAAAAGCCAGATACTGGGAGAAGATGGAAAGTTGAGGTCAGACGGCAGCACCGCGAAAGAAAACCCAGGCTCAGCCCTTGCGCAATGGTATTTGCTTTATTGGAGATGTTAAAAATCAGCATGTATCTATCCCAACAAATGAAAAAGAGGAAAAAAAATCAGTAGGCAAATATTTCTTAGCAACAGATGAATACTCTTCTCAAGATTTTGTTTAATCTAAATATATTAACTTTGTTTACAAACTGTTACTCTGAGTAACAGTAAGTTAGTGACAAAATCAACTTGTGCATGTTTATCCATGTATATACATAGTAGCAAAGTTTTTAGAACTCTAGAACATGAGTCTTGTGGTTTGAGAAATTACAGGAATTAATTTTGGAATAAAACAGACAAGTGTGAAAGCATTTAAATTCACCGTTCGACTTGCATAGAAAAATTACCACAACTCCAGGTCTATTAACACAAGGATTTTCTCATTTAATATACATAAAACAATCTCTCTTAAAAAGTTGCTCCCCTTTCCTGTAAAATCCCAGCAGCTGATCCAGATTCCATTCCAGATCCATCGTCGGGCCCCTGATTCTCTGAAGTGCAGAAGTATTTCACTTTCAGCGGGTGACCAGGCAGCCAAGTGAGTCGCATGTGACATGAAATAATTTCCTGGAGAACAGATTGAAAAATACCCGTCTTTTATGATCTTTATATTGTTCCTCTGTTGATGAAAGGTGTTCTACGCATACGCTTTCTTACCTGGGTTGGAATTTCGTGGAGTAGGACAGCGTAGTCAAACTCAATAAAATCATCTTTTCTTATCTGGACATGAAGCGAAGAGGAAGAAAAAACGACCAAGAACACAAGTTAGTATTGTTGAAGTGTAGAGTCGGCTCTAATCTTCTTTGACTGATCTACTCTGATCTACTTGACTGCCTTTAGCTTGCTTGGGGAGTGAGGGGAATAGGCCTCAGGACAGCTCTGGTGGTAGCTGGAGTGAGACAGGTTTTGTACGTGGAGAAACAGGGAATTAGGATTGCTTCTTGCATCAAAGCTTTGAGGGCACCAAGTGCAGCGTGGCTCTGCAATCAGACTGTTCTCTAACACAAAACTAGGCTGGCTCATGCTAATTAATTGGGTTCAGCTCTCAAATTTCAGAATCTTACCTATTAATCTCTCCTTCAGAGAAATCTCACCCTAAATGAGTAGGGAGTAAAAACTGAACATGGTCTATCAGTCACAGGTGAGTGAGGGAAACAAAAGCTTTGGGAACTTGGATTTGCTGTGCTGCAGGTGTAAGAGGTGTTCCCCAGAGAGCACAGGTCCAGTACGAGCCCAGTGCTGCCTTTGAGCTTGGCTTGGAGGGCAAGGAGGACTCGGAGCGATTTAGTGTAGGGCTGGTGAGCTGCAGCACCGTATGTTCAGATCTCATGAGACTGTCGGACGCCGACAGGTCTGCTCAGGCAAACAAGAAAAACCAAACTGTGTTCAAATGAGTAACGTTCTCCCATCAGAACATGGACAAAATACTTGTCCAGAGGTGGAGGTGTGTGTATGGAGAAGCCACTGGAATTTTTGGAAGAATCACCCCCATTGTGGAGAGTGTGACATGCCCATGAGGGTTTTGTTCCCTGCCACCTGGTAGACTCTGCCGGCTCCGTAACGCACGCGTGTAATTTCCACTCTGCTTACCCACTGCTTCACAGACTTCACTTGTGCCATGAAGTAACCCAAGTTCTCTGTTGACTTTTCCCACATGATGTAACTGCTGCCAGCGACAGCCAGAGCCCACACAGGCTCCAGGGCAGGCTCAATATTGCCATAGCTGTCTGCAGGGGACAAAGAGAGAAATATCGAAATGATTCGTTCTGGCCGTTGAGCAGAAAAATGATAAAGAACACTGGTGTAGTGCTATTCCGGGGAGGTGACTCTTCCCTCCGATGTGTTATAATCTTGAGCAGGGAGGAGAAGGATGCTAAACCTGCAGTGGTAGCAAAATCCTGAAAGCCTGACAGAACTGAAATTGCCAAGAGGCGCTATTGTTGGGTCCCCACAAGGAGGGGCGAAGCCCAGCAGCCGCGATAGCAGAGGTCCTTAGCTAGCTGGGAGGAAAAAAGGGACTGGAGCACTCTGTTTCCAGTGTGGAAAAATTCTGTTAGTTTGGAGGAATATACCTGGAATATTGTTTCCAATTATTGGTTTGGTTTGGTGCCTAAATTTGAGGTAAATTCTGTTGTCCTCTTCATGAATTTTCTTCAGGTCTTTGGGATGCGTACACTTGATATTGACAACAGGCAGAGCCTTCGTCTTCGGATACAGCACCGTGGCAAGGCAGCTCCCGGCATCTTCCTGGAAAGGTAGAATTTAAAGCTGTTATCTTTAATCAAGATTTTTATTTACCAGCAACATGTTCTTAAAAAAACCCTCTTGCTATTAACATGTGAAGTATAGACATGGAGCACATGCAGGTCTTTGTGAGATGCTTTGTATGAAGCTGTACAGGGTTCAAGAAAGCCTTTAGAAGGATATATTTTTTTTTCCAGAAAAGTAAGTAGGTTAAAACCACAAGGCTAAAGCGATTTAACAGGAGTTTTTAATTAAAGCGTAGCAGAAATGCACCAAGTCATCCCAGAAATATATTTTGAGTCCTCAAGAAATACTATTAATTGTTAACAGCACCTTTCATTGTATGATACATCAGCCTTGAAACAAAAATAATGTAAGGTTTCGTATTAAATTCTGAAAATAATTTGTATTTCCTAAAATGTGAGTGTAAAGGAAAAGCAGACGCTTACAGGGAAATTGCTGATGACAACTCTCTGACAGAATGAATGGAGGGGGCGGCTGTAATTAAAAAGAGCGCATGACTGTCGACTCTTTATTCTCGTTTTGGTGTGTGGGCACAGCGGGAGCTGCAGCTGGGTGACGAGGACCACCCTGAGACACTGAGCTTGGGCCAGTGCAACATTTCACCACTCGGGCACTTGGTTGCTTGATGTGACTCGAAACAAAACGATGTCTTTGGGCAGCGAGCAGCGCAGGCAGCTGCGGCGCTCTGACCCCTGGCACCCCAGCGGAGGCAGACGACCGAGGAGAGGAGCCGCTTGTGGGCAGGTAAGAAGCATAAAGGTCTTCCCTTTGTGAAAGATCCGTTTACGACAGCGCCTGAACGTGCCCCGTTTTGGAGAAGCTGAAGCTGATGTAAGGCATGCTGTCAGAAGTAAATGTGCAACACCATAAACTCACCCCCGTTTTGTAGTCTTCGGTGGTGAACTGCAGGTAGTACTTGTGCCCGGAGTTTGGGATGCTCTGGAATAGAGAACGAGTCAGCCAGCGGTTTTACGTACTGGGACTTGCTGAGGTGGCACCGTGGACGGTTCAATATATAAATGAATCGAATCTTGCTGAGCGGGAACTGCACAGGCTAATTTAATCGTAGGGCTGCTAACCCGCCTAGGTTTTTTTCTGTTCTCGTTGGGAAGAGACTAATTTCAACACGCAGCACGTCAGAGCAGGATTCTGATCTGCCTGCTCTGTTGTACCCTGAAAGTAGGAGTCATTAAATTGCCCAGTCAACTACCGAGACTCTGCTTGTTAAGGAAAAAATAAAAGAATACTCCTTGCTGATGGGAAGCAGCCAGTAGCACGTCCTGTGGCACAAAACATCAGAAAAGCCTTAGAACTGTACACCTTTGAAATACGTAATTTTCTTGCATTTGGGGTCTTTTAGGGGGGTTTGGTTTAGGGGATTTTTTTTCCTGTTCTGACAAAAATGGTTCAGTTAACAAATAGTATTTTTGGTGTGGGCTATCATGGACTCAAGCAGAAACTGCCTTTTCATGTTGGCCATGAAAAACACTAATTACCTTGAAACAGGATCAGTGCCTCATTCAGTGCTCTAAGAGCGGGCCTTATAAAAAAAATATTTGCATGATCTGCTCTTTCCTTCATTAGCCAGTCTCTTATTTTTCTACTAACTTTTATTCCCATTTGAAATCTCTGTACTTTTGAGTGGGGAGTCCGAGTAACAAAAAGTGTGGAAAACTTTGTATTTATTCAAGTAATTCCTTGTAACATGACATTATGCGTCCTTTAACTTTTTGGTGCATTTCCAAGCCTTTCCTTTGATTAAATCACCCAGAAATAAATGAAAGAAATAAGTCTTTTTGTAGGCTGCGCTGCAATTTATTAGACAAGCTTTCCGATATACAGGCCAAGCCATTTCTGGGTCTGAAAGTCTATTCTTTTTGCATATATTACATGGTTTAATGAGAGGCATTATCCCTTGTTGTAAACCTTTTGTTGCTTCTGTTTGCTACTGGTGTAGGATATATGGTAGAAAATGCATTTTACTGGAGAATGCAAGCTGCCTTCTGAAGCATAAATTTCAGTCAAGTCGCTGTATTGCAGCCATGGGTCTGATTTGTTTGTCTTGCTTGTTTTTTAAATACAATTCCCTTCAGATAACCAGGAGGGAAATTCTGGCTGTTTGCATAATTTAGAAGACAAGAACCCAAAGCAAACGCACATGTTTTATTTATCTAAACTTGGGCCTTTGTGTTGCTGTCATACCGTCTGTCAGGAAGCCATTAATAGCATAATATTAGACAATTTTCGTTCCCTGGTCAAGGCCATGAGCCCAGCACCTGCCTTTAGTATACACACAGAGTTACACACCGCAGATAAGAGGACAAATTGGTTTAGTCTCTTTTGTAAAATCCCCTCTTGAAGATTTATGGTGAGGCAATTCTGGAGCTGGACCCAGATCACAGCGTGAAGGGAAGGGAGGAAACGGACACAGGACGAGTTCAGACTTTCATCACCTCTTTCTTCTGTGCCTCCTCGTTCTCCCCTTTTCCTGTTCCAGTTTTGTGTATCGGCTAAAATGTTGTCTTCAAAATGACAGAGAATATGATGTGAGGAGACCCTTAGCATAGCAAAATAGTAAAAACTAGCTCTCTGAAATGCAGGTTTGCAAAAGAACCAGTAATTTGTGGTGCTGAAAGATGGCTCTTATCTCTCCTGATAATCACTGTGGTTAAATCTGAGTTTCCAATTATTGCAAAGCCACCCAGGACGTGTTCCCGCCATTGTTTCTGACATTCTTCATTCGGTGAGATCTGGGTATTTCTCAGCGCAGTGGCCTGGGCTTACACATTTTCTTGCCATGAGTACAGCACATGAGAGAACCTGAAGCAGTCAGTGGGACTACAGCGCTTCTGAAGGGGAGAAACGTCCCCCTGATTTAACTGATGACCATGGATGGGGTTTCCCGCTGAACCTTTCCCTCGGGGGCACGGTGCAGCAGTCAGACTCGGTGCTCCCAGCTACCGCATCAGAGTTGTAAAGTCTGTAATGGAAAAGTCTTTTTAAAAGAGTTAAGCTGGATCTTTTCCATTCGGCATATTCAGTCATTTAAAATACGTTCAACTATTCTTCCAATCGTATTTGTTCTTGCATGGGTGCCACCTGTTCTCTCTGCTAAATTGACAATCATTTATGTAGCTGTGACAACTTTGAGAATAGTAATCAGGTTCTGAGAAAATATCTCGGATGCTTCATTGCATTTCCTAGATACCGAGCACTAACAAGGAAAACAAAATCGATTGGGACTTTATATAAACTAATTATTCAGTCTCTGATTCTTCTCAATAGGAGGCCACAGAAAAGCTTCATGACTAATGACTTGGTAAATACCCACTTAAAAAAGAATACATAATTCTGTGCTTATGTGGTTTTTGAAGTAGATATTCTCTCTTCATTTGCAAGAGCTCCACCACAGCAGTGCCACTCACCTAGAAAGCTGTCAAGTGGCACTACACAGCTAAAATATATACTCAATCAGAGGATGCGTACCCAGGGGCTTCTTTGACCTTACCAGGGAGTGGGAGAAGGTGCATTTGGCATGAAATAATTTTACCCTTTGCAAGGGTTTTTTCTAGTTACTAAAGCAAGCATCGCTTTTCTTTCTACTGCTATTTTTCACCGTCATCCCAAAACGCATCACTGTAAACCATCCCACAGTGGGAGTTAAATAGGAGCTCAGGAATAGTTGACATCATGCAGCCAAAGATCGAAGTGTCCAAAAGAGAAGAAAACAAGTGAGTAATTCATTTTTCCGCTGAATATCTGGGTCACGGGATAGTTTTATTTCTGGGCTCAAAATTAATGCAACTTTCACGACAGATTTTTAGTACTGCAAAGGCCAGAATAGCAATTTAAGAGCAGTTTCATTCCAGGTCCCGATGGAGGTGGTTTCGCAACTTGTTTAAACTGCTCTAGCTCCGCACTGGCACAGAAAGAGGTGAACCCCCTCTTCTCCCCTGTGTTTTCCCTCCAGAAGTGAGCTCTCGGGCTGCCCCACGCAGGAGGGAGAAGCACACCTCTCCGTATTGAGCTTTCCCAAGACAATTTACCGACCCTGCCAACTGACTTTACCTTTCCCACCCTAAGGGGGGTCCTGACTGTTGGAAATAAGCAGAAACCTTTTAACAGTAGGGTCATAGTTCTGGTATTACGCTGGTTTGTGTCAAGATGAGTTTGTGAAATTAGCCACCTGTAAAATTGTATTTTATAGTCCAATTTAAGCAGATGTTGCAGTTTAGCCAAGGGATTGTCTAGCTTTATGTTTCACCTCCTGGTTCACCTACATCCTGCTCAGTTCTGGTTTCTGAGTACGTCAGTGTTTTGTACGTTTTTCTCTTGAATTCTAGGACCTTCAGCTGGCACACACTGATGTTTCTCTTAAGAAAGTATTCTGAAGCGCAGCTGTCAACAGTTCCCCGAGATGCACGCTGCTGTTTCCTAGAAGAATCTCACTTACTTAAGTGCAGAAAAAACCCACATCAATGCGAACAGACAAGAAGAAAACTGCAGCCGTTGTCAAGGTAGGAATTACTCTGTGTTTGGCATACCTCTGCTATTTGTTGCTAGGAAAAAAAAGCACTGAAGTGTCATTTTACCTGAAGTTGAAAAATCCTTCCCAAGTAATAGAGTTACCACGCCAGTGACCGTCTCCAGTCCTGTTTCTCATTACCACAGTTTCACTGGCTAGTGAGCTGATAATGCTAGTTTTAAAATGCAGTGCTCGTGATTAAATTTCATGATAAAATTATCCTATTTTTCTAAAATGTCCAGCAATATACTAACCGATAGGAAACAAGGCTTCTTAAAAAAAATTAGAAGAACAAAAACCAACCAAGCAAAACCCCCCAAACCCCAACATTTCTGTCTGTTGCATTCACATAATCTAGCACATTCCTTCCAGGAAATTCTTGTCATTTTTTTTACAGTGGAGGACAGGAAAGAAGGAAGTGACCAGGTCTAGTACATTTTTTCTCGTTTTCACAGTGTGTGAAGAGAAATAAGGCAAAATAAACTGCAGAAAGTGGTTGCAGCAAGCTCCTACAGCATCAAGTACTGTGAGGAAATAGTGAGGCACTGCTCTATAATGACTAATTTCTTTTTTCTTTCCTATATTAAAGGACATATACATATGCACACTACCCAGTGAAGGGCCAGTAAATGCAGAAGGAGCACTGGTCGGTTTCACGGTAAATTTCTGTCATAGGTTTTTGCAGCAATTTCACAGGAAGAATGAAATGCCACAGCAACATATCTGTCCTCTACACCTATCACCTACGTTTACTGACGTGTTTGGGAACGATGGTGAGAACAGAGTTACCTGAAGAGTACAATCTCAGATAATTTATAGCAGGACATTGTGTTGGTGCTCCCAGACAGGTAGCATGACCAAGGCTATCTTTCAGCCCCGCGTTACACAAAGTAATAGACAAATCTCGAATCCTTATGCAGTAGTTCGTGTTTTGTCAAATTTATTGGGAAATTATTCTGGTCTGTTAAATATTGCTTGTAACTCTGACAGGCTTTAAATCCTTTTGGAACTACAGTCACCTGGGATATATGTGAAGACTGAGGCTCAAGTTCAATGTTGTAAAGACCACAAGAGTATGTGTTAAGAACTTTAGTCTGGCTTGGAACTTCTTTCTTAAGAGGGAAAACTTTATACTGCACCATGTTCTTTATCGGTTTTAGGAGTGAGGGCCTGAATTGAACATGCCGTACAGATGCTGAAGGACAAATGTCATAAGATCTTTTCAGATGCCAGAGCTGTGAAAAGGATCCAGTGGAATCCAGTGCTGCATCTGGCAATTCAGACTAGGAATCCAGAGCAACCAGCCCTGGCTTAAGTTGCTGCCCAGCACTAGCCTGGAGAGCAAGGCTGGACGGGAGGGCTGGTTTTAAATCCCTGCAATAGCTTAGACCCTCCTCAGCTCTACAGGAAGGTC